GTGAAAAAAAAACTGATTTCTCAGAATTATTAATAAATGTTTTATATAAAGTTTCGTCGATGTAGTGATGTTTCTCTCAGTGTTCAGATGGCACAGAGACTTCCACATTGCTTCCGATCCAAACACACAAGAGCGAACCCCAGACCCGAATACGGAGCCTCCGTAGAAGAGGCCACATTTACGTTGGACTGTTGTCTGGGTTCTTGTTGCCTCTCAGATTGGGATTCTTATCGTTGTTGCTCACACACAGAAAAACACGCAAAACACAGTACACATACACAGATACACACAAACACACACACACACTCGTACATTGATGCACAAAACAATTTCCTAATGCCGAGAATTGGCTTTTGTGCAATTTACAGTCTTCTTGTACTTAAGAATAATTTGAAATTTGAAGTGTTGCTGCATTTCCGATAACTTCAAATGCCAAATGTTTAGCCATTGCCACACACACACATGGGAAAGGGAAAGAGAGAGAAGCCATTAAAAATGCTGAAATGGTGCATCAAAATGGTTTGCTGAGGATGATGGAATTTTGCGAGAAATCAATGGAAATTGATGAAAACTATGCAATGGTTACTTAAAGCCGGGTTGGATCCTTACATGCCCCAGGGGCTAGCAACCATTTGAGAAGTTAAGCTCTGGCCCCATTCGCCGGATTAAATTCAGATACCGGTTTCCCATGGCATGCCCCACATGGATTTCCATGCGTGACGCATTTCGGAAAAGCCAGCTCTGTCCCTGGCAACGTGTCTCATGCAAAAAACTATCGAACAGCCAAAGCCATCATCCTGATTTTCCCCCGACATACATTCGTGATATGGTATAAAAATCCACAAACAAAAAAAATAAAGTAAAAAAAACCAAGTGAAAAATAAAATGTGGTGCAAACAAAAAAAACGCTACAACTTTTTGGAATATTTAGCAAAAATGTCAACGTCTAAAAGCGAAGTAGAACAACTGACCGACCAAATTTGAATTCAGGAAAAAACAAAAAAAAATTGAGAATAGAGAGTTATGTAGAGCACTCGGCTGGAGTGCCGCAGGAGCCACTGGCAGGGTTTTTTCTGAGTGGAAATATTTTTGGGGGCCACTGTCACAACATCCGGCATGCCACCACGCACATGCCATGCACTTGGGCCAGTGCCACTGCCAACCAAAGTCCCGTTTAGAGAGGCTTAAGGACATTCCACAACTCTCTGACAAGAAGGAATGCTAGAGTCAAGTGCAACGGCTATGAGATACCCGCTACTTATGTTATTCTGGCTTTGATGTACAGCCAGAGGGAGAGAATGGCAGGAAAATATCATAGCTCTATTTCCCATAGAGGTACCATTTGTACTATAAATGTTACTTAAATCCTGGTTCATTTGAAAAGCAGAGCATTCTCTTACAGATCTTAAGCAGATGCTCGCTTGGCGGACAACAATTAAGAAAGAAAATTGCCAGAAAGGGTTCTGTTGCAGCTTGGAAATGCAATGTTTTGTGCGCAATTATTATTTGACAAGCATTTTAATGATTTCAGCCAGTTATTGGCGTAATTAGACCATCTTTGGCAGCAGGCAACACAACACAGACAGACAGACAGACTGACTGAAAAAACAACAGAGAGCGCAACAAGGAGGCAAGGCAAAGAACCTTTTTGGAATCAGTTGCAGTTGCAATTATAATTTCAATTTTACGAGTTTTCAAGCATTCCCACGAAAGCCACCAGCCAGACATTCTTTCCTTCCATAGTTTCCACTTTCATGGCAACGCCTTGGGAGCCCCAAAACATTCTCTGACTTTTGTTTATGCGAGTTGTGTGCTCTGAAGTGGTTAGTTTCAATTCTGGGGTAAAACACAAAGACAAAGGAAAAACAGAATTGTGTGTATAAGTAATCTAGAACTGCAACTGCAACTGCAACTGCAACCCAGTGCTGGGAGTACTACAGTCCTATTCGGAGCTCTAGTCATACTTAATTGCTGCTTGTCTGTGTTTCTACTAAATGAGTTTTTACTCCACTCTCGCCACACTCCTGCCACGTAAGAGATTATTAGGTGATTGTACCTGGAATTTATATATCAACAAAAAATGTTGTAGGTTGTTTCTCCCGTTTGGAATTTCACTTTCATCCCGGATAATCAAACGACTTGACGTGCCTGAAATGAATTCCGTTTCCGTTTGCCAGAGCCCCACCCAACCCCGATCCCAAAACAGATTTGATTTCTCTCGTTCGCCTCTATGTCAATTGTGTTGGATGCCGCCTCTTGAGGGGGTTTTTCCCCCATTTACATTTCGTTCTATCGCACACCGATTCGTGCTCGTTAACAAAAGATACATATGCATCTGGTAGATGTATTTTGGCCTTTGTGCTCGCTCGCTGCTTTCTTATTCCGCTCTTGCTTGGTTAGATTTAAATGCCGAATTTTCAATGCAGCACACATCATCCATGGGAATGGGGACTGAGGGAATGGGAGGATGTTGGATGATGTTGGATGAAGGAAGGACATGTGCTCACCTCCCCAGTGTGTATCTGTGTAGCTGAACACGTGAGAGTGTAATCACTTGTACTTAATATGCAGATGATGACAATGTGACAATCAAACCGATTCCAGGTCGCCTGATACTCTCTGTCTCTCCGCCTTCCATAGCCTGATGTTATGCGAATCGGATTATTATTATCATTGTTATCGCCTATCGTAAAAGGCAACAGCAAAATGCGCATTTTTCTCCGCTCCACTTCCTTGTACGTTCCCCTGCCTTCCTTCTATATCCCCCCTTTTTGAGCGCGCAGATTTCCTTGAGGCATAAACGCATTAGACCTTGCGTCTGTCTCCCCGTTAGCTGTTTGAGTCCTAAAAAGGCAATTTGTTTGCATTATGATTTTTATCTTTGTGTTTTTGAATTGTTTGTTTTCATTCGGAATTGCTAATGCATGGGAATAGAAAAGGAATTTAAAGGATATTGGTTTGTTGAGGAACTTTCTAAAGAGGAAGCGAATTCTTCCTTAAAAATTATCTTGTTCCTCCAGTTGCATGGCTTTTGATGGAACTCTAGTATCTTCCATGGGAAGACATACGAACACCACTTAAAATTAAACATAACTCTACATAATTCCTCATTTATTTGATATAAATCTGATGACTCTATAGCTTCTTTATGGCTATTACACGATGTAATGTTTCCATAAGTCATTCGAATGAGCCAACAAGAGGAGCACCAAAAAGGGGTTAACTCCCTTTGCGGCATTCAACAGTGCTGAACATTCCCTCACGCAGCCCCATTGTGGCGGTCATTTCATTTGGAAAATGCACATTTTCATCTGGCATGTGTTAATGCACTGGACGGGAGGGGGGGGCAGGCATGCAGCGGGGGCAGACTGCAGTTTGTGGTATAACTTCATAAAAATGCCACCCGGTTGCACCACAAGATTTACTGCAGTTGGCAACAGAAAAAAATACATACGTGGAGGCATGGAGGTATGGAGGAAGGCAGAGAGCCGTTTGCCAGTCAAAAGTTGCTGCCTGGCGATAAATGGACTGACGAACGCGAAAGGATAACAGCAGGATACACATGGGTGGGAGCTGGTTGGGGTTGGGGTTGGGTTTGGGAATGGGGCTTGGGAATACAAATGTGAGGGGAAATGTTTGTTGGTTTTACTCAATTTGTTGCTGCCTTTTTGTGCGATGTTGCTTTGGGGGGTTTCTTGTTGTTTTTTTGTGTTTTTTTTGGTCGGTGAAAACACCCTCAAGGCTGCAAAAAAAGCGAAGGGAAAAAATGGTACCCATTTTGGGGCCCTCGACATTTTAACTGAAATGCAACAGGAGGCCGCGTGTTAATGCTGAAAAAAGGACAACAGGCGGCAAGGACCCTTTGGCAGCAAAGTGGCAAAGTCGTGACGAACTCTGTGCCCCCAACACAGAAAACAGCAGGAGCTACGGGGCAGAAGGAAGAAGGGAGTCGGGGCGTGCTCCACCAGCTGGATGTCGCGGTCACTTTTCATGCTTTCTGTTGAGCCTTTTCTGATCCTTTTTTCATTTTCATTTTCATTTTCATTTTCTCTTCTTCCTCGGCTGCTGGGGATGGGGGGAAAGCAGCAACAAATGTCTGGGACTGCGAGTCACGCGCTGAATTTAATGCCCAGCCAATGCCCCCGAAAATGAGGCGTGTCAATGACTCTGGGTCACCAGAATGGACCACGCCTTCAGCTCAGCCTCTCACCCTCTCAGTCTCTCAGCCCCCACTTATTTCTTACGAATCTGATTTCTGACATCTCTTTTGAGTATAGAGAGCATTCGATGTCTATGGTTGATTCTCCTAAAATGGTTTTTTTCTTACTCATTCGCTTCGTTGCACGCACAGGAATTTATTTGAGGCACACACATGCCTCAGGCTGAGAAAACCGCAATAGCAAATATGTTTGAGGAAATGTTTTCCACCACAAAATGCGACAACTGGAAGTCTACTAATTTTCATCTCTGGTTTTTGTTTTCTGGGAAATTCTTTACCCCCCTGATTGCTGCAGGAAATACGACTAGTAGCGCTACCTCTCTCTGTCTTTCATTTCACATAATTTTGCAAGAAAATTTAATTAGATTTTCAGCTGTTGTTTCACTTGTTTCACGCAGTCAAAACCCGCATGTGTTGCTTGGGGATTTAATTGCTTTACAAAGCCGCAGAATAGACAAACAAAAGTTCCGCAGCCCGCACCCGCACCCAAAAAAGAAGAAAAAGAGTTAAACCTAAGGAAAAGAGACACAGATTTACACAGTAGAGAACCCGCAGTGGCAGTGGCAGTGGCAGTGCCAGTGCCAGTTGTAGCCCACAGTCTGTAAAGGCAATTTCAACTTTTCCCTGCTTGTACGAGTACTTAATGGAAAATGACTTTTTATTAAGCTGGTCTGTGAATCCCTTAAGCGCCTATTTTCAACACTTGCGCCCGAAGAAAGCAAGAAAGTAAATAAGAGACAACACCCCACCCAACCCGCAAATGACGTGAAACATGGGGGTCTCCAATGTAAATGACATGTAATTTAACTCTAATCTTCTTGGGGGAACAAACTCTCAATATTATTACAATAGGCAATCAGGGTATTATCGTTTTCACCGGGAAATATTTGACCCAGAAATTCCATAAGAGCCGGTTGAATGGTGACTACCTCGGAATACTCCTCAAACGATATAATCCCATCCTTGTCAGTGTCGAATTTATTGAACAAGAACTCGCACATGTCCTAGAAAAAGAAATGATTATATGAAGAGAATCCTAAAATCAATATTTAATCAAATTACATACCGCTCGAAGTTCCTGAACCTCATCATCGTCGTCGCCAACAAAGAATTTCTCCACAGCTATGGCCACGGTCTCACGGTTAAGGATTTGAGTGCCAGCACTTGTGTAGACCTGAAATGAATAGGAAGTTTTGGGAAACGAGTCACGACTCCAGTCCTTAGATTATTACTCACATTATATGCAAATCGCATGCGTTCTTCTAGGCTGCTGCTCAGAAATACCGAGAACAGCTGCATCCATGCATCCGGAGAAACAGTACGCGCATCTTGCGTAAGGTTTAGCAGAATGCGATCGATGATGCCGACATCGAAGATCTGAAACAGCACCAGAAACAGGCCGTAAAGCTGATTGGTGGTCATCAAGCGCGAAGCGGGCCTGTTGCTCAGCGAGAACTTGTAGTAGACGATCAGGAGGCAAACGACTTCGTTTGTGCTAAAGTCCGTGGAGGCGGCATAGCTCTTTATCACACTGTTGTAGAGAGTCAGGAACTTGTTGTTGGCCATGTCATCCATGGAAGCGTCAATGCGATTCATTTTGGCAGTTTTCGGTTTTCGGTGTCTTTTGAATGCTTATAAATTTAAGTTTTATTTTTGTGATATATTTTGTTGGAGTACCTAGTAAGTGTTCCTGTCTGTTCCGGTTGTGGGAAGTTTGTGTGTTCTAAACGGAAGTGAGTTCTACAAACTGATTAACATCTCAGGGGCAGGCCTACTTGGTAGGTGTTTTTTCGGGGGTTACAATATGTGAACATACATATGTGGCTAAGACAAATCACAAATAGATTGGGTAAGTCAGCAGGCAGCCGGAAAGGAGAAGGAGACGGCGAAGGAATGCTTGTAACGAGCGCAATTTAAAAGCAATAAAACCAACGGCGAGACATAAAAAATACATCAGCCACGGTACATGGACTACATCTGTCCCCCATTTCTGGGGGGGATTTCGAAATAAATATTTGAAACAAACACAAAAAAGGAAAAAAGGAGAGAAAGGAGAGAAAGGAGAGAAAGCAGAGAAAGGAATGAATGGCTCAAAGCTGTGCGCATGAGAAACGCGAATATAATAATCCAAACAAAAGCGTTGAGTTGAGATGGGTGTAAAGCCCTGCCATGTGGAAATTTGGCGGAAATGGCTGTGTAGCCATTTTGTTTGGGGGGCAACAAATGTTCAACCGAGCCGCCTCCGTTGCGTTGCCTTTCCCCTTTGTTGTGTAATTGTGTGCCACACACACACACACACATGCCACGCCCTAAGAAGAGTGGAGGGGGCACACGTAAGAGGTGCAGGGAGCGGAGGCCTCAACCGCTCGACACGGCATAATAACAATAAAATGAAAAGGAGAAAAAAGCTAAAAAATACCAGAAAGATTAACTTTTTTGGTGAAAGATTAAATACCCTTACGGATTCATATAGTCATCAGATTGTGGATTAATTATAGCAGTAAAAGAAACGCTCTGTGCCAAGTTTCATTTAGATATAGCCAAGGAATCCTATCACATTTCTGCTGGCAAACATATCCCCAAAATCATAGTACCCTACGTGAAAGGAAACAACCCAAAGGAGTGAGGAAGAGTATGAAGCTCCTCCAGCAACAAGGATTCACGCTCCTTAATGTCTCCGAAAGTTGACATCGCCAAGTGTTGGCGGATTTACACACAGAGACCCACATGTGCACGAGAGAGAGAGAGAGAGAGAGAGAGAGAGAGAGAGAGAGAGAGAGAGAGACTCGACTCGTGTCTGGATTTTGGTTTTATTGTACTTTTCGGTATAGAATTTTGATTGATACATTTTGCATACGGTATTTTGGAGAAGACTTAAATCTGTAAAATTTGGGGATAAGTAAGACAAATTGTGGCGTGACGCAAACATTTTGGAACAATTTAATTCACATAAAACGGTTAAGGCACTCAGCAGCAAAGGAGATGCAGGAGGAGCATGTGAAAGCATTTACTTTGAAGTAGGTTTTGAAGAAAATTTCTCTTAGGAGAGAGGAAATAGCAGGTCCTGGGAAAATAATCTCAAACAAACCCCAAACCAAATTGAAACAAAACAACTCTAGTACTATCATCAAATACATACTACAATCCATCAAGATGGATTATCTAGATGCCACCATTGATAGCATGGAGAACAGTCGCTTTGCCGCCCTATATGGCGGCTTGGTCAGGGAACTAACAGCCACAACGCATTTTTCGCAGACGGATATCAACTGTCTGCTCATGGTTTACTACAAGTTCGCCAAGGTCAATGGGCCAAATGCCAAGCAGATGACCAAGGTTCAGTTCTATGAACTGTTTCTGGTGCTGTTCAAGGTCTCGAATGTCACGACCATAGATCGGACTCTATTTGTCGTCACCAAGGATGTGAAGTACGTGAGTCCAAAGGCTTGGGTGCAGCTCTTTTGTCTCTACACAACCGAGGATCTCTCAGTGCGTATGCGCTTTGCCTTCGATGTACGTCTCGGTTTGGTTCTCCTTCTCTACTCCACCCTCTCTAAGAGTTGATAATTCTTTTGTGCTTTGGCTTGTAGATCTATGATACAAAAGGAACTGGCTTATTAGATCGCGAACAGATCAGCTTGGCCTGCGATAAATTCTTCGTTGGCGAGGACGAAGATGAGATCACCGAACTAAGAGCGGTAAGGCATAATAGGTACATGTATACCTTTTGTTCTTCATTATCGTCAGGGGTTAATGTTTCCATCAGGACATGGGTGAGTTCCTCATCAAGAAGTTTGATGTCGACAAGGATGGTTTTATCTCTTATGAGGACTACTCCACTGTGGTCTCCGAGCAGCCGTGTCTGCTCGAGTTCTTGGGGCAGCTGTTTCCCTCTCCCTATGACCGCGAAATATTGGCCCATTGCATTAATATGGATTCGTTTCTGACTGTAGAGTCAGGTCGTCTCAATTAATGTTGGTTGAATTTGTTAGTGTTTAAGAGCAGTTGAATATATTTTTCCTGGAAGCAGCACAATACTTTTGAATGCCCATTGCAGGTTATCATACGTATATTCCTTAGAGTGATGGCATATTCCAGTTAATCAATGCTTTTGACGGTGCCCCCGGGGCCCAACTTCTTCATGGCGCGGCACAGCATTTGTGGCCAGCATATGCCACTCGACCTAATTCAGGACAACCCATAATTATATGCTCACAATCGCGGCGACGGCAACGCCCCTGCCCCAGCACATACATATATGCGATATGGCCGTGGAAGTCGGTTAAGTAGCTCATTAACTTCAATACATTTGATTACATTAAATATGGGGTTGTGGTTGGGGGTTGGGCCAAACAATTTGTGCATTGCATATTCCAGTCGACCATCCCGCAGTCTCTAATTCTATCGCCCTGTTCGCTGTGTCTGTTAATTTGCTCAATTCAATCGGCATTCGGAAGTATTTGGGACATGGCTAAGCCACTGAATGCTCACGTATTGCCATGATTTGGCATTTATGTAGTGGCATTATGTGCATTATTTGCGAATTGATTTCCACAAATGCCTCATCCTTTTCAGATCGTCCCAATCACATTGCCATTCAGTACCTTCCACACAATAGTCTGGTACGGACACGCTTTGGACTTCAAAGTGAAGTTGAAGTAAAGTTTAAATGTGTTTCATTTAAAGTTGTTAAATGGTTTAATCAATAGCTGCAGTTGACACTGCTGGAAAGCTATATATATCTGTATCCTATATCAACGGATTGAAGCCCAGCATGTGGCCTCTGGCTAGATAGATGGTCGGTCGGTCAGAGTCAGAGTAAGAGGGCTTCATACATGGAGTTGTCCTTTTGTTGAACTTGCCCTGGCACACGCTCCACGCCTCCCTTTGGGTGTGTGTCGGTCTCGCTGGCATCAACATTAATTATCCTTGATAATAATCATGCAATTTGTACGTGAGCCGGGCCCATGTTAGCCGTCCTGGGGGCAACGGCAAAGGCATCCATGCTGTGGTCTTTATTGTGGCATTAACAGCAGCGCCACGGTACGGTACGGCACGGCACGGCACGGCCTGCAGCAGCAGCAGTCGTGGAAGCATCATTATGCTCATTATTGTCGTCAAAGGCACGCAGCTGGGCGTTGGGAGAGTCACAGGGTCGGTAAATGGGCTCCAGGAGTCCTCAGCGCACTGGAACCTTGCATCCTGGCCAAAGGGGACAATGCGCGTTTGATGAATTGCATTAGGACATGTAAGTAATTATAATCAATTAAATGAGCAGCTCGGTTCATGCGGCTGCCAGCTATTCACTCTTCGTTATCCAAGGGATATACCCCTAAGATCAGGTTAAGTGAAGGATTTGAAATCGAAGCTCATAGCACAGCACCCCAAGCAAAAAATTCTGGCTCAGAATACTGTTCTTTTCAATTTTTGCTTGCCATTTGTAGCAATGACCACTAAGAACAACCATCAATTTCCAACAGCTGAGTGGTCTAAGCAAACAGACCATTTAGCTTCATGGACAATCCAAACAGTGGCCCCAAAGTGTGCGGAAATGTCGTGTCCAGACTTTGGGGGATCATCGTATCGTATCCCATTGCAATTTTTCGATTAAAATTCCAGTTTGCAATTCAATTAAACACTAATTAAAAGACATTTTGCCGCCATAGCTTTCGCAGCTGGCAGCCCTTTGACAACTTGCCTCAATCTGTGCCTCCTGCTCTCTCTGTCTGTGTGTCTTTGTCTCCAGTGGCTTTCCCCAGGGATCTGTGTGGGGCCTGTGACGAGTGGCAACGGATGTGGGGGTGCCACCCAGCCGCCCAGCCGCCCGGCCGCCCATCCAGGATAAGGCAAGTCGACAAATGCGCACAAACTGTGATAAATGGGAGGCGCAGCCAGGGGGTTAAGAGGCAGAGTGGGAGTGGCATAATGAATGCCATGAAAGGCAGCAGAAGACAAAACACAACAAAAACTAACCCAAACGAGAGCAAAGAAACAGACCAGAGGGACAGGGAGAGGAAAGAACAGGGGAATCAAAGTGAAGCCTTTTTTTGTAACATTTTTTCCTTGGGCCCCTGCTTTGACTTTGTGTGGGACAGTGTAAGCAAGTGAGTTAATTTTCTGGCCAAAGCAAAAGCTGCACGGAATTCGACTTCGTAAAAGTAAATTTCATCTGCTGCCGTTGCACCTTTCTATCTTTGTAGTGCCTCTTCCTGGTGGCAACTACTTTGTGGAATACCGAGAAGGGGAAAGACAAACAAACTGACTAAAACCCAAAGCGTTTGTCAATTATAGTTAACTGAAGGATAAAACGGGGGAAGTGGTCTTTGAGGATGGTGTTGTTGCACAGAGAAAATTAGGTCCTTTGGGTATGAAGTTACTGGGTGCATTTCCTAGATTCCTTAACTAAGCAAAACTTCATTGTGTCCGCAGCCATAAAGCCAATTAAATTTCTTCCAATACTGATACCCAAACCTACCCAAGCCCTACCCATAAATCCGATCGATTCAATCACTCAATAAGCCCCAATTTCATTGACTAACCGGCCAAGATTTCCTCCGAATCAATTAGCGGCATTGAGAACGAACTTTAGCTAATTACCCGAAATTTTGTGGTGAATTCTGCAATGCGATACAAAAATGTCGGGGCCAAGTTGGCAGAACTCAGAACTCAGAGCTCAGAGTGGGGCTCAGAGCAGCTCAAAGTCAGGGGCCATCAAAGGCAAAAGGACTTTCGAGCGTTTCTCATTATCCGGTTGGCTGTGCTCGTCAAAGCTCGAAGCGGATGCAGTGGCGGATGCATCGTGCCAGGACCCAGGACCCAGGAGACAGGGACGATAGACGAGAGACAGGCACAGGGACTGGTACTTGTCCTGCAAAATATTCGATGGCAACTTGTCGGAAACTGCTTAATTGCATCTCAGCTCAATTATGCAACTTAAACTCTTTTTTCTCCTTTCTCTCTCATCTCTTTTCTATCTCTCCCTTTTTTGTCCGGGTTTTTTTTTCCCGCTGTGGAGTTTTTTCACAATTTTGTGTACTTGACATGGAGGAGAGGGCTATGTGCCGGCTTAGTGGCATATCATTATAATAAAAGTTCATGTCATTGGCTTGCTTTGCTCATTTTTAATGCTGACCCTTCATCCATGACCATCGCATGTCCGACCTTCGGCTCAGCGAAAGTTGTACATTCTTTTGCTGTGTATTGTTTCCCCCCGGAGAACGGAGCAGCCGGCTAATGCCATAATCCGATTTGGGATTGAAAATTCATAGAATTTTTATCCAAAAACAACACACACAAAAAAGGGAGAGCGAAAGTAAAGCAAGCAGAACCGATGCGATGCGAAGTGAAACAACAAAAAACTCCATGCACACAAATAATAATTGCCAGGACGTGGTTGGCAGAGCGAACATAAAAAATAAAGCTCGGCACGGACGTGATCCTCGACGAGAACAATGCGGAAGCGGGTCCGCATAAATTTCAAACTAATTACAGTTTCAGTGTCCGGCATACGCCCACACACACTGAAAGGGAGAAAGAGAGCACCATTTTAACAATCGATGCGAAAACCATAACAATTACAAATACAAATGCAAATACAAACAAAACAGGGAACAGAAAAAAGCCAAGGGAAATGACCCCTCCAGTGCACACACTCACAAAGGAATACAAGAAAGTCGGTGGAGATTTTGGGGTAAAGGAAGCTCGTAAGTATACCCTTTCGATGGGAGTTGCCTTCGCCTGGGTATGCCTGGACTGGACTAATCTGAGATGTCTGGCATATACATATATGTCTTGGATGGAGAGTTGCATTCTCCCAAGTAAACTGTTTCCTTAATGTAATATTATATATTAAAAATGTGGATCAAATTGCAGAAATCTTGGACTCAAAGCCACAGGAAAGGGTATACAACGCCCCCACAAATAGAATACCAAAGAACAGATTACAGTTTTTGGTGGGTGCGCTTAATGGCTGGGTCTGGAGGGCCACAGAAGAACCATTTTTGTGGGTGGGAGCCACACACCAGGAAGGGCTTGTTGGAGTGGGTGTTTGTGTGTGTTTGTGCTTTTGGCTTTCTGCTGTTAAACCCATTCGGTGGCAGAACAGAACACGCCGCCGAGCGCCGTCTGCTAGACCACAGTGAAAACTCATTAATTTATTCTTCGTTCGTTTGTTGAACTTAAAATAACAGCGTTAATCCGCTTAGCGCCACCATTCACAACTAAAAACAGTGCCCAGAAACAACAGCAACACTGGAGGCACGGAAGGCACTGAAGGCACTGAACAGCACTGCGTCCTGCCACAGGACTCTGTGGCCCTGGCCTCACTCTCTCTGGAGTGTGTCTCTGGATGCCTGTGCAATCAGCGGGACTGCGGTCGGTGCCTGACAATGGAGCTGACGATGGGGACTGACACTGACAATGTCGCGCCGCCGCCTACAAACAAAATGAATTAAGGAAACCGCAATGACATAGTTACAGTGTCAGTCACACACAGAGATACTGTCACTGACACACACACACACACACCCATACACAAGCAGAAACCCGTTATCCATAAATGCGTCTGTGTGGATGACCAAGTTTTAAACTGGCTTCAAGTTGTTGGCAAACTCCCGGCCAGAAGTCAAGTAATGACCCAAAAGCCAATAGAGGAAGCAGCAGCTCGCTGTAGAGGATTCAACTTACAAATGCAGCTCGTACTCGCAAAACTCTTAACTTCCAAAAATAAATTTAACCAGAAATTCTCTTACATTGGTCTTTAGTTGTTAAGAGGCGAAACTACTTAAATATTGATATGCAGTCCACTGAAAAAAGGAAGAAATTCAGATGAAAATAAACAGATAAGAAAATATCAAAATAAGGATGACAGTGCGAGTTCTCGTAAGCGGACATCCATTGTTTGAGTATTATCTTTTACCTAAGAGAGCTATTCGCCCATTGACAGGAGGTCCGTTAATATATTTGTCATAGGATGTTAGAGCTTAATTGGTTGATAATCTGGTTATTTTTTTATCAAA